TCGACATGTGGCATCCTCTCCTTAGGCGAAATTCCAAACTCGCGTATATGCGGCCCGGTCGTGTCCATCCGGCGCTACTTCATGCACTCGTCGTCGGCTGGAGCCTCCGTCGCTAGGGCTATCGGATGATCGGCTTCTGTTGTAGCTGGCCCCTCTATCCCCTCTCTTGGAATGGAGGACTTTGTGACCACAGCCTCAGCTTTTGCCATTGACCTCCTGAAACGTCGGACCCATCATCGTGGTATAAATTCGAGTTTCGCTCGACAATAGGCAGAATGAAAAAACACAAATTTCTATAGCAAGCTAACCCCGACTAATTTTGACATATACTTCGACATATGTACACAATCTTCTCGTCAGTCATTCTCATCACTATGCGTTAGCTCCCGATTTCACAGGATGTAGAGCCATCACAGGTGCCCAGGTGTGGCCCCCATCTTCCCGTAGCATCGAGGCTATATCCGTTGTATCATGATTCATCCATTGCTTGAATGTCCTTCCTGGGTAGCCAGGCACCCACCACCACGTCCCGCCATTGAAAAGCTCGTATGCGCCGTTGGGATCGTACATTGCCTTGCCGAATGAAAGACCGTTGTTCTCCCGAGCATTATCGGAAGGCGAACCGCCGTTGAACAGTTGTTCCAATTCCTGGACACTCACTTCGCGGCGCGCCTGGGGATGGTGGTACCACGGATGGGGTGGGAAGATGACTTTCAGGCCGTGGTACAGTGCAAAGGACACGGCAGTGGCTTCCGAAGACAGAGACAAACCCTGGTGGACCTGAGCGTGATGCATGGCATTGAGCAGATTCCACGAGTATCTTCCCATGGCCACTGGACTGTAGAATCGTGGGGTGTCTTCCCCGTTCTGGAACCCGTGAATCCAGCCCTTGAACGGCCAGTATTTCGTCGTTCTCACATCCGCCAAAGCGTTCGTGAGAATTAGGTCGGCATCTTCCCCGACACCCCAGTTGAAGTTATCCTCACGAGGATCGGCAACGGGCGGCTGGGGTCCAATGGGATGTTCAATGTCAGGAACACGGATAGGTCCCCAGATACCACCACCTCCCAAGCTCTCGTTGATGGCTGCTTTGAACTCTCCATAAGACCCATGGACCTGCGGCATGTAATAATATGAAGACCGTTCAATAGACTGTTTACGCGGTTCGTTCCTTGCAAACCTTGCCATTGCGTCCAACCACTGCCCGGAGTTGCCTGTGAATTTCATGTCCATTTCAAGCTGCCAATAGTGGTCGAAGTCAGGAAAGAGTTGCGCAAACAATTGCAGAGGCTGGTAAACCTGGAAGAAAGCCGAATGTTCAGGGATTCGAGGATACCATGATTTGAGCAACTCGAGGTTGAAGAGGACGGCAATGTCTCGAAATTCGGCAGGCACCAAATCCTGTAGAGCCGTTTCATAAAGTTGCGGATCACGAAAGATCGGTCTCGTTCCATTGTCGTCCTTAACATCCACCAAGAGAAAAACAGCGTTGTCTGCATTCCAATCCAGCCCAGCCTCGACAATCAGAGCCCGCAGATGGTACAGGTCAAGTGAGGTGTAGTTGTAGCCCTCCCAACTACGAAGCACGACTGCCGTCCGGCCCGTAGAATGTGTTCTTGCCTTCAACTTCCCAACGCCAGGTTTTTTCTTTGCGGGTAAGCGAAACCGTCTCGTCACGGAAATATTTTGGGCATTGCGGAATCGATCCAGATTTGAAGCAAGACAGTCGTTTTGCAGATCTGCCCATTTTACCGAGCTCCACTCCACACGAGTTCGCTCGTAGGTCTCGGACTCTTCGCCATAACCATATGCACCGTATCTCGATTCGGGGGTGTTGAAGGTAACCGGTAGGTCCAATGCTGCAAAGGAGCCGCCCACTGGATCGGGGAAAGCTGTGATCCTGTCAGCATCACACCAGAAAGTGGTCGACCATGGCAGAACTACGTACGGAGGTCTAGCAAACTTGCCCAAACTCTGTCGTCGAGATTCTCTTGTACTGGCTTTCCACGCGGTCCCACGCACGATTGTCGCACTGCATTGGCTGGTGGCTGCAGTGGAGAGGCGGTGGGCACGTCAAGGGGCGCAGCCAAGGGATCGCGTGAAATGCCAACATTGCGGATAAAATCGTGATACAAGAAGACAAGAAAGCAGCCCAGCCCAACGGTAGCCAAGATCTGGAGCCAAAAACGTCGGAAAATTCCAAACTGGAGGGCCATTGCACGCCCAGCCGTCGCACAGGGGCGAGACGCAATCACGCAAGCGACCGTTGTGATGCACAAGTCCTGTTTTGAGCTGTGGGAGATGCCGCCCTGTGGGGGCCGCCAGCCTGGTGGCCTTAGCTTATGTGCCCTTCGAGCCTGGTAGAGGCGCTAAGGGGCGCTCAAAGGGCCCCCAGTGCTTCCCTTGGTGTGGGTGACCTCGTGCTGCTTTGCCGAAATTATTGGTGCTAACTCTTTCAGACCACGTGTGGCTTCACGAGGCTGGCGTAAGTTTCCCCCATGATTACGCAATCGTTTTGAGACTCAGTTAAGAAGCAACAAGCTCTCCTCGGTCACCCAATGCAATGGAAACAAAGCCTTCACAATCAATCAAAGGTGAATTCTAGCAATATCATGTACCGTGCCCGGTCTGGGGCTTGGTATCATGATATTTCTCCTTCCGATCTCGCGAATCACACTTGGCTCGGCTGCGATGGTTTGAACCTCAAGGGTCCAAGTTCTAGACACCGCGGAGAACTTGGGCACTCGATCGAACCCTTGACTGATAGCGGTACGAGTATTTGTCATGGTAAACCGTCCACACGTCTTACAACTGAGCAATAAAGTGCATGTAATTGGACAAGGAGCTGACTTGTTGCTGACTAGAGAGGCGAGACCAACAGTCTTCCCCGCAAAGATGCGTCATGTCAGCCATGAGAGATCAATTGTAGCTGCATTGAGAAGCAGATTGCACGTCGGCTCTATGGAATACTGATCAACGCCACCCGAGGAGAAACACCAGTGGGCAAGGACGCGGCACAATGCGCAAGAGGGCCGGCACTGTGTCCGGGGACCGCGATCCCGTCAAATAAATGATGGTCCTTCACCGTTTTTGGCAATTTCGTCTTTCTGGACTTCGCATTGTCACTGACACCGCCGAACATGCCTGACTACATTCATTGGGACGCTCCAGGCGTGGAAGAGGAGCAACCGGGTGAGCAGGAAAGGATCAAACAGGTAGCAGAGCAGTTCTGCCGATTCCAGATGTTGAACTTTGACGAACATCATCACGCCCTACGAGGCACTCATCTGAAGACTCAGGGTGTATGTTGGCATTACCTGACCGTTGCGACCCTGCTGATAGACATCGACAGTGTGTTGCGGGCAAGTTCATCGTCCACGACAACCTTCCTCCGCATCTGGCTCAGGGAATGTTTGCAAAGCCTGGCACATACGACGTCATCATGCGGTATTCTTCACTCACGCCCAAGCTTGTCCCTGACAACGTCCCCGCACCACGTGGAACTGGCATGAAGATTTTTGGCATTGAAGGCGAGAAGATCTGGGGAGAAGACAAGAAAACCCAGGACTGGACTTTTAACAACTATCCCGTTCTCGAACTTCGCGATGCTCGAACCACGTATGAGATTGCGGACTCTTTGGAAAGAAACTGGGACAACCTACCAGAGTTTGAGAATGAGCTGAAGAAGCGTCCGGACGCCGATGTTGCATGCCTACCAGCCAAGATTCCTCCGCAGCACAGTAAGTTACATACATAGGATAGGCCGACGAATCTGATCATGGTCTACAGTGGTGGCTATGTCGCAATATTCGCAATCGGCATATCGGTTTGGTGACTATGTGGCCAAGTTCGGCTTGTTTCCCCTGGGCGAAGAGCAAAAGAAGCTGGAAAATACCTACATCAAGGACAGCGACCCCAAGAACATCATCTCGTCTGAGCTTCGCAAATTCCACAAGAATAACAAGGTGTCGTACTCTTTCTGCGCACAGCTTCTTCAGAACCTCGCCGAACAGCCCGTCGAGGACATCGGCGTGGAGTGGGACGAGCAAAAGTACCCATTCGAACAAGTCGCCACTCTCGAGTTCGAGCCACAGGATAGCTGGCTTCCCGAGTTTCGAGTTTGGTGGGACGACCGGATCACTGTCAATAGCTGGCATGGACTCAAGGCCCATCAACCCCTAGGCTGCACCAACCGCGTGAGAAGGGTCGTGTACGCTGAGTCTCGCAAGCTGCGACTGAGGGTGAATGGCCATAAGGACTACATTGAGCCTGCAAGTTTGCAGGAAGTGCCGTTCCAGGTAGCCACTGAAGCGTAGTGGAAGGTTGTTGCGTCCCTAGGTACCATTTTCGGGCATGTGGAAGACGTGGGGAAGGCCGTAGAGGGAGTCTGGGACTCTCGAGAGAGTGAATGTCCTTGGCCTGAGATGCCAGTGCGAGTGTGTTTCAGCTATGCAATGAGACACCAAATATACTGTGTTCTGGTTGATTGAATGAGCTGCCTCGTTACTCCAAACCCAAAAGCAAGTGACCAACGCAGCCTGAACTCTGACTTTGAACAGAGTATCTCTGCCATCTCAACAATTCCGCCAACTCCTCACCAGCCCAGAACCTCTTCACTCTTCGAGTCTACAGGGATTGACCACACATCTCCCAGCTAGGCACCTGTCTAGCTGATCTTGAGCCGGTTTCGATGTTGCATTTACCGCCGGAAACTCATTCATTCATCCTTCCAGTCAGTCGGTGTCTTTCTCTATCCTACGGCATGACGTGCGTGATTCGAGGCTAGCACCAGCAGACATTCACCAGTCACTGTCGCAGAATGTGGAAGCCGTGTTTTTCTCTCTCTTTCCCGTCTTCTGTTGCTCTCTGCCTCCAGCCTGGCCAGCAAAGAAGTTTTGCGCACATTCCGTGTAAAGTGCGGATTCAAACATTTCGCCTCCATTTCTCATCACTCAGTCACCCTGCGACGACTACTTCTCCAACCAACGGGCCGTCTCCTCTCACAGGTGAAACTTCAACGTCTCGGGAATCTCCCGCCATTGCATCTCGCTATCCAGGAGCTGTCTTGCCTCGTTCCACATCTGCTTGATCTTGTCTGCCTTGGCAGGCGATCTCGGTTCAAACCTCGCGGGGAACGGCAGCGGCATCGACACCAGGCCTGCGGTCCTCAGCAACGGGTCCGGCAGGGACGTCTGCCCTGGCGCAGGAGTAATGTCAAACCCCCACAGGAGTCGCGAGATGGCCAGGAAAATGGTGACGTCGGCGAGATGAATGCCCGCGCAGATGCGCCGTCCCGCGCCAAAGGTGAAATGGTCACGTTTGGTCACGTCGGGGTTCTGGGAGGCCTCGAAGGACGACTGAGTGTCGTTGATGAATCGTGCGGGATCAAAGCGTCGAGGGTCGTCGTAGATGTTCGGGTTGTTGTTGACGGCCCAGGCGTTGACGACGATTTCCGCGGCCCGCGGAATCCGATACCCGTTGTATATTTCATCGGAAAACGTCGCGTGCGGGACGATGAGCGTCGTGGTAGGCGACCACCGGAGCGTCTCCTTCACACATCCCCTGACGTACGGCAGGTTCGCCCAGTCGGACATGGACGGCAGACGGTCTCCCAGGACACGATCTATCTCGGCGTGAGCCTTCTCCTGGACATCGGGGAAGAGCAGCATCGCTTGGATAAAGGCCAAGATGGTATTGGAGGTCGTGTCGGTGCCTGCTTCCAGCGAACCACCCGAGATGTACGCGCCAAATCGGTCGTCGAATCCCTCCTTCTCCTGCTCCCGCAACATCTGGACCGTGAAGCACGGTTTCTGGGTCCCCTCATCCAGCTTCAACTTGACCTCGTTCCACAGTCGGAGATAGAATGCTTCTTCCCTCTTTGTGTGCTCCACGGCCATCTTGACACCGGGTAACAGCCACCGAGGGAGCTTGCGAAAAATAGGATAGGCATCGGGAACATTTGCAGCAGTAGACTGGATTATGCCGGTGGTCTTTTCAAGGCTGTGCGCACTTGGACTAAGCCGCCGTCTCATATCTGACAGTGCTATTCGAGAGCATTGGGAACTGACTTACATCTCGAGATATTCTCTCATTTCTGCATCATCGTACTGGGGGGTTCGCCTCCTGCACCGTCATCAGACAAGAAGTGGACGAGGAGCACGGGATCATGGACATACCCATATGTCATCATCATGGTCGTAGAGTTCGTATACCTTGCCACGTCGCCCTCTGAGTTAGCGGCCTCTTGTGTGACATTTCCAGTTTGCCTAGGACAGGAAGATTACTATGTACCTCTTCGTGTGACGCAGAAAATGGTCCGGGTTGGTCAGGATATCAAAGTTCATCTGCTTGTTTTCGAGCTCGATATACCTGATGGCCACAGGTTAGTGCACCCAAGATACCACCTATTGTCGTAAAAGCCAGTTCAGCGATCCCGACTCACGGCAAGTACGATTGCGTGAGGCTTATGCTCAATAACTTGTGGTACATCTTCCGCTGCTTCTGCCATACTTTGCCATAAGGCTTGGGTGGCATCACGAATCAGTATCACGTCTCGTTTCATCCCACACATCTCAGAGGCGAGCGTAACGATACCTGTAGCAGAATTCGCTCCCCGTTACTCAGGATTTGGTGCCCAATGTAGCGGTCGCTCCGGTCGTTGGTCGCCTGCGCACGCTTGTCCAGGAGTTCCTTGACCTCTCTATTACTAGAGAGAATAACCATGACCTTTCCGGACCCGATCATGAGGCTGTAGATGGGTCCGTAGATCTTGGACCATTTTTCGAACTGTAGGTGGGCATCCTTTGAGGGCATCTATTCTCTCTCTCGCGCGCGCGCGCGCACGCGTCAAATTGAATAACCACGTCACGTTGGAGTTGCTGTGAATGCGAACGCACCTGAAGAAGATTTCCGAGTACAGGGACAGTAGGAGGGCCTGGTGGATAGTCCTTTGGTCGGCGGCCAATGCGTGAAATCGCGTACAAGGCGAGTGCAAACCCTACCAGGGCCAGCACGAGAGACAAGTTGGCAGCCATAGGTGTGAATGACCCTTTCGTGGAGTAATGCCTAACGCCGTCGTACAAATCAATGTCCACAGTACAATGAGAGAGCCAGGGCGACGAGAAGAAGGGTGGCGTAGATAAATACCCGAGTATAGGAAGCATTTCCGACCGCCCAACGAGGTACCACGGTCGGCAAAGCCTCCAGAACAACGAAGACCCCGGTGCCCCCACGAGGTGCATTACCCGTCGGTAAAAAGTAGCAGAATGTAATTAACGGGGTTGTGGATCTGTAGGCATTTCCAGGCCGCGGACGGTTTTGGTGCATTTGGCGAAGATTTAGTTCGGCTTTGGGGCTTACGAGGGGATACTTCGTTCGTGAGGCCATCGTTCGCCGGTGCTGAGACTTTATGTGTCAACCCCCGAGGGCTCGTGGTTCGGAAAAATCGGGGCTATTACGCCAGAGACTGTATACCAGATGGCTCTTGTCGACTTGGCTCTATTGGGCAGACTATGGCATATGAAATCTCCCTCATGGCCTGGCCAAGGAGCATTCTCATCAATCCTAACAGCACATACACTGCCCAGCAGCAGTCTTCGGGCACCGACGACCAAGGGTCCAAGGGGAATTGATATTGACGTTTCTCTACGTCCCATCAGGCGGAGATATAAAGACCTCTTGAGCATTTGAGCATTGAGAGCCCCTCTTTGCGACCATGTCACGACCTTGGGACAACCAGCCTTCTGGTGTCATGCGGGCCCTCGTCCTGACATCCCCGGGACAGGAGCCACCATCTGCGTGTTTCACCTATACAGAAGCCTACCCCCGACCATCTCTCCCTGGACCCGGTTGGGTTCTTGTTCGCATTCGTGCCACCGGCATCAACAGGGCTGAGCTTCGAGGTCGCGCCGCCGCACCCGCGTTCCCTGGGGAATGGAGTCTCTGGCAAAAGTTCTATCGTCCGGAACCGCCTCAGATCCTGGGCGAAGAATTGGTCGGTGAAGTCGTCGAGGCGGCCAAAGACACGCCGTTCAAACCTGGTGACAAGGTCGCGTCCACCCATGCCGGAGGTGGAAAGGCCTTTGACGGATCCTACGCCGAATACGCCATCTGCCATTCACGCCGAGTTTACCATCTACCGCAAGACACCACCTTGAGCTGGGAATTACTTGGGGCCCTCCCCATGAGCTTCCTCACCGCCTACGGAATGGTTATGATCTCGGCGAGACTGGGGAGCAGACCACCAGGTTCCTCGGTCATTGTCCATGGGGCAACTTCCTCGGTGGGCGTTTTCGCCGTCCTGATTGCGAAAGATCAGGGAGCGTCTGTGATTGCAACCACCCGTCAAGCGAAAAAGGTGGACCAGCTCAAACATTGCGGCGCAGACCATGTGCTCCTGGAGTCCGAGCTTGATGAAAAGATTCCCCAGATCCTGCCCGATGGTGCGGATGTTGTCGTCGAGCTCGTGGGAGCGGATCAGTCGATGCGTGCCCTCGGATGGACGGCCTTGTTTGGGAGTGTCGTTGTCTCTGGCGTCCTCAACTCGTCTGCCATTGTCGAAGGGTTTTCTCCCTTTCTCATACCGACCACCCGGAACCTGTCCTTCTACTCGGTCGCCAATGACGGTATAGGTGACCACGACGCCGGAGCGAGGCACACCGACATTGAACCGATATTCGCCTACGCTGTGAAGAAGATCGAAAGCGGAAAGTGGAACAAGGAGCATTTCGTGGACAGCGTCTACCATCTTTCCGACATTGGCAAGGCACACGAGCGCGCGGAAAAGAACGAGGCCACTGGAAAGCTGGTGGTCCTCGTCCCCTAGACTATGTAAACACTTGAATTCTCTGCTTCAAGGATCAACTTTGGCCTTCGATTAGCTTTGGTAAATGGATTGGCTCTTTTTCAGGCGACTGCTACCATGGGCTTGCGGCCAAAGTCACCCCACATATACTGGACGTTGACGATGTTCTTCATCTCGTACGTTTTGGCCATCGACCGTCCATATACTTCTTCATCGTCGTAGAGGGCCCCGGCCAGGACTAACAGCGGATAGAAGTGATCGTTGGACGGGTGCGCCTCCAGGTATCGCGGACTCTGGGTGATGCGTACAAGTGCGGCGGCGAGTTCAGCACCCTGACGATGAGTTAGTATCCTAATCAGGGGGGACACTGGCCGGGCGAAGAAAACATACTGTGTTGCTGGTGATGATATCATCAATGGACTTTTCAAAGTCCCGTGCAAATTTTGCAGGCTGGGATCCTTTCTGTAGGTTGTCCCGCCGTAGCAGGATTGGCAGGTGGTTCCCACGGAAGATGTTGTGGACAATGGATCCCGACGCAATGAGCAAGATCCCCTCTTTCCGGAGGCTTCTCAATGCTTGGCCCATTCTCACATGGAATACGGGATCGTACCGGGCATTGATGCTCACTGTGGTCGCCGGTGGCATGTCGTTTGGAAACATGTGCAGTGAGGGAGTCGTGGGGGCATCGACCCATTCTGCAGTTTTCGATTCCTCCACGTCGGGAAATCCAGCAGCCTTCAACAGCGATATCACTCGGAGTCCCAGGTCGCGCGAGATATTCGGCTTGAAATGGTCGTACTTTTCACGGGGGACCAGAGGCGTGAGGTCGACATGAGGGTCCGAATTCGTGGCAACTCTGATCTTGTCGTCGAGTTCGACCCAGTGAGAGTTGATAATCACGATTCCTTTGACATTGGCCACAATTTCCCTTCCAACCTAGAGCTTCTGTCAGCTCCAGTCACGACAGGAGTGTCTTGGAACTTGGAGGTTTCGATAAGCAACGCACCTTTCGGAACCAGGCTGTACTGTCACAGTCAGTAATTGACATCAAAGGAGTGCCATGAGAGGCGAATATCAAGGGCATGAGCCCCTTGGAGTTGTCCATGATGGGGTGTCAACGTTGCTGGCTCAGCGATGTGTCGTTGGCGGCTATTGTAGCCTGAAGTCTGGAGAAGGCCACCGGGTTAAGGCAACCGTTAGAGTGCCATCCGTGGCCTGGGATCAAACTACGACAGTTAGCCTACTTGGCCGAAACCAGGAGTTGCCGATGGAGAAAAAGCCCCGCAAACTTCGAATCTCCGAAAACGATATGCGAGATACTCCGTACCAATCGGGAAAGGCGCAGCCTTGCCCCCATCTTATCCCTCCGGGTGCCAACGAGTTCCGGGCAAGCTGCATGGTTCACCCTCCGTAATGACTGCTGGCCGTCTACCCCCATTTGTTACTCCCTGACTCTCATGGTAAGATCCTCCGGGGAAAACATCTGATCGTTCTCGACCACACCTCGTCAGTCGGAGTGCCTAGACCTCACACCACGACATGTCGAGATGTCGGCTTTTCGTTCAAGAGGGGACACATCCGACCTCTCGGGAGCCCTCCTCTATAGCCCAAATCGACCCCTGCCTCCATTCGCGTTGCATCCAATTTCGTTGAGGCTCTGAGAAATGGCAGTAGTTCCTCCTCCCATCAGCAATGGCACTGGCCTGCACCCTCCCCGGGACGAGGTTCTGCAGCATTACGAAGAGTTCAAGGCTAGCCGCATTAATCCATTGGGCTCTGCACAGTACATCGAGCTCGAGGCCGCTGCCAGCCAGCGCTTTGAAGCCCTTGCAGAAGATCCATGGGTCGACCATGCGGCAATCAACGCACAAACCCCGACTCTGAAGGACGGAGACGACGTGAAGATCATCATCTTGGGCGCTGGGTTTGGCGGGCTACTCTACGGAGCGCGCCTCGTCGAGGCGGGATTTCGGCCAGAGGACATCCGCCTGATCGACACTGCGGGCGGCTTCGGAGGGACGTGGTACTGGAATCGGTATCCAGGTCTCATGTGCGATGTCGAGAGCTACGTCTACGCGCCGCTTCTCGAGGAGACGAACTACATGCCGAAGCATAGGTACTCGTATGGGACAGAGCTGAAAGAGCAGGCCGATCGTATAGCGCAGAAGTACGGCCTCACGGGCTTCTTCCGGGCCTATGTCGAGAGCGCCACGTGGGATGATCAACGCAAGAGATGGGCGATCAAGGTCGAGGAGAACCGCGGTCCCGGGCAAGACAAGGTCCACCTGACTGTCTACGCGCAATTCGTCATCTCGGCAACTGGCTTTCTGAACCATCCAAAGGTCCCCAATGTGCCTGGCTTGGAAAACTTTGAGGGCGAGATGTTTCACACGGCGCGCTGGAACTACCGTGTCACGGGCGGGTCACCCGAGGATCCAAGCTTGACGCGTCTCAAGGGCAAAAGAGTAGGGATCATAGGCACGGGTGCGACAAGCATCCAGGCAACCCCTGAACTGGCCAAGTGGGCGAAAGAACTCTATGTGTTTCAACGAACGCCGTCCAGCGTCGACGTGCGTGGCCAACGTGAGACCAATGTTGACGAATGGACGTCCAAGATTGCGACCCACAAAGGCTGGCAACATGACAGATGTGACAATTTCCTTCAATGGTCGGTGGGCTTGAACCCGGGAGAAGAAGACCTGGTCAACGACGGCTGGACCCACGCCCTGTCTTATATCGGTTTCATGGGCGCGCCGCACGACAAGCCCATCCAGCCGGAAGAAGTCCCCAACCACATCGCCAGGCTCCTGGCCATCGACGAAGACATTGCGGAACAAAAGCGCCAACGCATAGCCAAGCTCGTCAAAGACCCGGAGACGGCCAAAGCTCTCACGCCGTGGTACCCAACATGGTGCAAGAGACCCTGCTTCCATGACGACTACCTACCGACCTTCAACCTGCCCCACGTCCATCTCGTCAGTACTCTGCCCCGCGGGATTGAACGTGGCACGAGCAAAGGGCTGGTGGTCAACGGCAAGGAGTATGAACTCGACGTCCTGATTTTCAGCACGGGCTACCGTCCCCCGGGTGCTGGTCAAGCAGAGCCTGGGTCCATGGGGAACATGCAGTTCGTGGGGCGTGATTCCCTGACCATGTCCAAGAAGTGGCAGACCAAGGGGGCCAGCACACTCCACAGCTTTTTGACGCACGACTTCCCCAACCTGTTCCTCGGTGGCTACGTCCAGATCGGCAACGGGCAGCATGCCACCTACATCATGGATCTGAAGGCCCAACACCTTGCGTACATGCTGGCCGAGGCTCACAAGGGTGTCAAAGACAGCCAGCGACTCACCATGGAGGCGACCGAGGACGCCGAGGAGGCGTGGTCGCAGGATGTCGCGAAGCATGCCGCTTGGTTTGCCGCTTATTCGATCTGCACACCGGGCTTTGCCACCAACGAGGGAGAGGACTTGAAGCCTCTGAGTCTGGAGGAGACACTCAGAAAGGCCCGAGCAGCACCGCACGCCCAGGGGTTGATCAATTTCAGGGACGTCTTGAGACGCTGGAGGGAGGCGGGGAATATGGCAGGGGTTGATATCAGTACACCGTAGGAACTGCCCAAGGTGTCCTGAGATGATGTTGGGAAGCCAAAGGGGTCGGTAAGTGATTTTGAGGTACTTATTGCCTTTGTTGGCTGGACTAGAGAGCAGTGTTCCCAGTATGTAATTGATGCATCCGATTTCCAAATCAATTGACCCTCTAGATTATCGAAGAATACGAGTCATTTTGAATCCAACCACACACCCTATCTAAGAGCGAGAGGCGGCTGTTATGATTGGTGTCATATCCTGCGGACCGATAGTCAGTGCTATCGTCACAACCACCACATCATGTTGGAAAAGCAGGGGGGAAACTTGCGATGTACATGGCCCAAAGAGCCAATCGTGGTGCAGAGTCAATTGTCGACTGATCAACGACTGCTCTCGCGGCAAATTGATTGTGCACCGTCGTTCCATTTTCGAATTCCACGTCAACCTCTCCCAGCACGACAAAGTCATCGCCTCTGGCCGTTTGCGAATACGCCCGTGAGACATGATGCTTCCGTCTTATCATCTTGCTTCCTGGTTTTGGTTTGCTGCGACTATTCGAGATCTCTGTGACAAGTGGTGGTGCTTAGCCCAGGTGGGGGGGTTGTTTCTCCTGCGCGATTGACCAAGGAAGGGAGGGATGCTTTATATATACCTTGTCTGCCGACAAACTTGTAACTTCCATGGTCAAACACGCCGTCGGGACTGAATACCTCGACAGCCATCCTGGACGCTGCGTCGGCGTCGTTGGAATCTCCAAGCTCCAAGATCTTTTCCACCAACGCCCTGAATGGTTTTGGTATCGTCGGCTCTGGCCAGACCGTGTCGGCGGTGATGTAGCTCATCGTGGGAGGAATGTAGCGTGGGGACTTTGCGGTACGTCTATGGGCGTCTGAAGAAGGTGTCTTTGGTTTTGAGACAGGATTTTTTCAACCGCCATGTTCAAACCCAGATGGGATCTCTCTCTTTTGAGATATAGGAACGTGTTAGGGATGGATGGGTCGCTGTATCGGCGGCAACAGAGACAAGCCGGCCCGCAAAGAGACGCTTCTCTAGTGCCTCTTGGTGCCTCTTCAGCTCTCAGGGTTTTGTCGGATTCTGGCGTTTTAGCCGATCCTAATCCTGTCGCCCTCCCCACGCCAACCAAGTGCATATTGCGGGGGAATCGTCTAACGACTAGTATCGCCACCAGGTCTCTGGGACTTGGCTCCCTGTCCCCCAAGTGCACCCGTGCTCCGATGGTTTTCTTGGTGATGCTGTGGGCGACGCTTTCTTCCCATCCTCCTTTCTCAAAACCCCCCAGCGGTGTTTTACAATTCTCGCTTCCGGCCAACCCCCCCCCCCCCCCCCCAAAAACCATGGAGACAAACTCCCAGGAGCAGAGGCTCAAACAACGACAACCCCAGTCCGCTGAAAAGGGTCAGCGGATGAAGCGGTCTATAGCTTGTGACTACTGCCGGGCAAAAAAAGTTCGATGTATGTGTTCAAATGTAGCGGTCCGCCACTCTGACCCGGGGGCGAAATGTAAATGGAAACATGAAAAAAAAATTGACAAAAACAAAAAGGCAATTTTGAGAATGGAGACTCTTGTATGAATTGCATCGACCGAGGACTGAGTTGCTCGCGGCCGTCGCGTTCCCAGCGGCGCAAGAACAACAAAATCCCAGTCACCCCGGACGAGGCTGCGTCACAGACAGACTGGATGCGCGGCATGTTGCAGCCATTTCTGTCCGAATATCCCAATCTCGTCACGGCGGCCGGAGCACAGGCCAATGCGCTGCCTCAAGTCAACGACATCATGTTCGATCCCCCCCGGAATGCGGACTCGGAACACATGGCTGGCGGCCTGTCCGGGGTGTTCGAGGTGAGCCCGATGGGATCTCGAAATTCCAGGCCACCACCACCCAACCACGACAGCGATGTCGATATCCAGCTCCAATCTGCTCAGGGTGACAATGTCGAGGTGCACCAGAAGACGTCCGAGTCCCAGCTTCCTGCGCATCAGCTGCCGGGGGGTTCTCATTCTACAGATACAGCAACGACTACACAGTCTCCGCTGTTTGTCTCTGACCACCATGGCCTCAGCGCCATGCACAGTCCCGATCCACCCCACTCCGTCGTCAGTCAGATGGAGACAGAGGATGCCGTGGGGAAGAGCAGTATCTGGTCAAACAAGATGGTATGTCGGGCGAAACTGTTTGATATCTCTCACACACATTGAAAAGTCGCTCACTACGAAATAGACAAACTATCAATACTCGGGTGGGTGGTTCCCGCTTGGCTGTTTTCGTGGGGGCAGCAGACGCCTAACTCAATCTGTCAGGCCCAACGTCGTTTATATCGATATGTTCCACCGCAGGTATCCAATGGGTCTCTGAGCGGACCGGAAGTGCCACTTTTGTAGACGTTGCCAACGAGTTCACCACTCGCATAACCCGGCTCCTGAAGATTGAAAAACGGTGTCTCACCCCGCCCATCGAGGAGCCTGACCTGGAGACCGCTTTGATCTACACCACAGGTATCTCAGACCGCATTCTGGAGCTCATGGTTGGTTCAAGAGACTTTGACCCGGGGCTAACACGAGTTGATGCCAGCTTACTTCGAGGACGCGATCGATGCGGAAATGGCCATCGTCCATCGACCCTGGTTTGAACAGCGGTTGAGCGAGTTCTACAACAGCGGCATGAAGGACCAGGACGCATCATGGTACGCCCTTCGCATGGCCATCTTCGCGTCCGGGAGTCAAATCGAGCTATCGAAAACGAAGAGCTTCCGCGAAGCAAATGAAACTGGATGGCGATATTTTGAAAACGCCCTCTCGGTCTACACCAACATTCTCTTCTATCAAACCTCGGTCGAGGGAGTCCAAGCTTTGGTGATCATGGTCAGTGAAGAAGAGAAAAAAAATGTTCGGCACAGCAGGATGATTGATTATTGGCTTCTAGTCCTACTACTGTTCGACCGTGAGCCATCCTTGTCTCGAGTACATGCTCTGCAACGATGCTGTGAGGCTTGCTGTGGCTCAAGGACTCCATCGACAACCTCCACCCTCATTGAAGTTGACCCAGAGCGAGATCACCCAGCGGCAGTGCATATTCTGGGCGGCCTATTGCTTGGAAAAACAGACTGTGTCGCTGTCGGGTCGCCACTCGGTATGTATGTGTGTTATTGCTTTCCCGCCAGGAGGTATCGTGAGGATAGCCTTTTGTTCTAATCTTTGACACCTTTACAAAGATGATCGACGACAGTGATATCACCTTGCCACTGCCGACGACCGTGTCTCCCGGCAGTACCCTGAACCTGAAATTTGCCGTCACTCTCATCCTGGTGTCTCACCTGTCGTCAATGGTCTCCAAACGACTCACCAGTATGTACGCGCTGCGACAAGGCCTCGACTATCTGGTCCATGTAGTCACCAAACTGGACGAGAAACTCCAGGCCCTCAAGAAATCACTGGAACCTATTCTGTCCTCCAGCTCGATGCAGACAGTACCCGGTCATCGTCCATCGGGAATGAGTTTGAAACAGATTTTGTTCCTTCGATACGCGATATCCAACGTCACATTGGGCATCCACACCAGCCTGACACACCCCTGGGCCGAGTATCTTTTCGCTCACCAGAAGCGGCGTGCCGAACTCCAACCTCAGATAGACAGGTCATCTCAGATCGTGGCCGAAACATGTCGAAACGCAATCCGAATGATAAGTAAGATCCAGTTTGACGCGAGTACGCCGGTATCGTAAGTGACGCCCCAGCGGAAACACCTCCCCAATGATCTAGATCCAAGACTGACATATTTCTTTTGTTTTGTTTTTTTTGGCCGCAGCGTGAGCTTTTTTGGTCCAATATATTCGTTGATCAACCTGTTCATTTTCATCCTGCAATCCCCGTCCGACTCCAACGCCAAATCCGACGTCGCCCTTCTCGACTTCGGCGCCGGACATTTCGCCTGGATGCAGATCTTTACAGAGTCCGAAGTCTCGATCGGCCTGGCCAAAGAACTGGCCGTTCTGGCTCAAGGGTTCCTGAAAAAGTATCAGAACGTCGATAAGGATTCGGCGACGGCGGCGGCGGCGGCGATACCCATGACTGCCTCCACACCAAGGACCGGAATCAACTTTGCTGACCAGGAACGCGTAAGGGAAGGCGGCGGCGGCGGTGGTGGCCTGCGGACAAACGACGAGACTGACGAGACCACTCTTACAGCCTCGCCACCACCTCCTCCCCCGGACTTTGGATATCAGCAGACCGCACAAGACCTGTCCGCGCAGCTGTCGGAGGTGCCGTCGTCTTTTGACATCAATCTGGAATATTGGAGCACCTTTGTGCCAGATATCTTTGATCCGGATCCCCTGACCGACTTTCCTGGCGTGGACGGCATGCCTTAGGCACTAGCCACGGCCCCCGAAGGTTCTTTTTCAGGGGGAGAGGGCAAGCAGTTTAGGATATGCGATTGAGAGAAAGTCGAACAAGCGTCGGGGGGGAGGGGGGTTTTAACAAATGTAATGGGACAACGGAACAAACATGTAATAAAACATACTCAGGTACTTCCATGTTGTATCGAGCGGAACGAAACGTTTTCGAACAAACTCAAGTTCTTGGTCGCATAAAGAAAAGCAAAGCTGACCCCCGTGTCCTGATGGCTAGAGGTCTATCTATCCTGCCCTACAGAGACAAGCTACCTAAGCAATCTTGTACAAATCATCAGTCCCCGTTTTACCGTCCAATTCCGTCATTGTCTTGATGTTCCAGTCATCGGGCTCGTAGTCGTCCGGCACGTTGGTGTTGCGAAATGGTTTCCCCTGCTTGACATGGGCCATGACGGCGTCGAACATTTCGTAGCCGTATCGTTCCGCGTCGCCCGAGTACAGCCAGTCTGGCTGGGGAATCTTGAGAAATTGCGGCTCCTTCTTGACTCTGTCCCAGTCTGTCTGGTGCCATTTGTGACGCACTTCCCACCCCATTCGCTGCGTGGTAGATGTCCTGTCGTACCTGTGTGCGAAGCCGGGAGCGTTAGTTTCTTTGTCTGTGTGTGTGTCTGTGTACAGGCCCATCTATCTCTTTTATTGCGCCGATTTGATTTGCGACACTCACCTTAATTTCTGGAACGCCCGTAGAGCGGACGGGATATCGGAACGTCCCGCCCTGTCGACCAGAGATGCCAGAGTCGCCCCGTCCTCGACGCCCATGCCACCTCCAGAACCCGAGGTCGGGAGATGGGGGTGCGCTGCATCACCCACGAGAACGATTCTCCCTTTGTCAGAAACCCACTTGTCGATCGGGTCGCGCCACAGCAGCTTAAAGTCGCAAATGACATGCTCGGGAATCTGTTTGATGGCGGCTTCCAAGACGGGATCGCAGCCCTCGACAACTTCGAGCATGTCCTTGACGGTGCCCGGGTACGTCCAGGACTCTTCGACCGTGTACGTGTCCTTGTGGGTGAGGTAGGCGGATATGTATCCCAGCCTGGCGTTGACGATGATGATGGCATGGAGGTTCAGCCCAATCCAAATGATCAGTTGGTCATTCTCGGTATAGGCCAGGTCGTGGGTCAACGGATCCTTTTGAAGGTGCTCCCGTGGGAAATACGCACGGTACACGGCAAAGCCACTGCGCTGGGCCATCTGAGTATTGCCCGTGACGTATTTGCGAGCCCGGCTGTACACGCCGTCGGCTCCAACCACGAAGTCTGCCGTCACCAATTCCCCGTTGAGATAGACGCCAGCCTTGTCGTCGCCTTCCCAGAAATCGGTGATTCTGGTACCAAAAGTGAACTTGACCCCGATCTTCACAGCGTAGTCGTAGATCAGGTTTTGGGAGCGGGCGCGGCTCGTGTAAAGGTTGTAGTGCCCGTTGTACTTGTCTTTCCAGTCCTGCTCTAGGAGGACCTCTCCCTTGTCGCTCTTGAAGGTGACAATCGCTGGTCTTGCCGACTCTGCGGCCATCTGTTCAACAACGTCACCCCATTTCTCCATGACAATGCTGGCATTGGCCGTCAAGGTGATGATATCGCCTGTAGGAGCAGTCAGTTTTGTGTCTCTGTCCCAGTATAATCTAGACCGGGCACTGAACCACCACCCGATTTAGAACCACGAACCTAGGATCTGTAACTTGGGCTCCCTCTCCACCACATGGACGTTGCATCCCTTCCTCTTCAATTCAATGGCACAAGAAAGTCCAGCATATCCGGCCCCAATCACAATAACATCAATGTTGTTGTTTCTGGAAAAGTCGTCATCCGCAGCAGCAGGTATGCTTCCCATGATGTCGTTCCAATATCTTTCGTGCGGCTTTCAGACTGTGTGTGGCTTTCGGGGGCCTGCACTATTTTCGCAAACTAGCTTGTAAATAGTTTTTGTAGGAGTTTAACGGGTCTGTTGTGTGTCTGTATGTGTGCGCGTATGCCCATGGCCATGGACCCCGGAGAAGTTCGGGCACCCAACGAAGCAAAAGGCTTTACCGGACGGGTGTTGTCACAGCACACATACCGACGCCAACAAACATGCTCTGGGTGCCGGATTCTCCAACATATCGTGCATATCTCGGCTTGTCGTTCTCTGGAGCGGGCTCGATCATTCGAGAGCGACAAGCTAGAAATGCGAGCCACACCGCCCGAGAGGCGGGGAATCATCGAGGGAGGTTACCAGTAAGCCTTGAAAGCTCATTGGGGGCCGTTGGGATAATTTTGCAGTATAGGCATGAAAAGACCAGTCTCCCCCGAGATCCAGAAGTCAGCCGAGAAACTGTTGCCATCTAGAACCGGGGAATTCAAAGTCGCAAAGTCACCCGGACGGCACCAATGTGTGGCGCTATACCATTTTCGGGAAAGTAAAAACACAGTCTAACCCGAAATGAAACTTTATTCGCTCGACTAAATGACCAGATTTGGACGGCGAGGAGCTCGGGCATTACTCCGCATTAACTGTTGTGCAGTTCAATCACCATCCAGCTGTTCATAGCCCATGGAATCCAGCATCTACAGTAAGTCCTCGACTGTCCCGATGGTCGTGGGATTCCTTTGTGGCAACTGCTTCTAACTCGTGATAAAACCGGCTTGAAAAAGCTGTATAGTAGCTCTATCAAGGTCCAGTCAAGCTGTCGATTATCGTGAGAGGATTTTACTCCTTATTCACCAATTTACCAGGCAGATGGATAAATGTCTATTTACTCGGAAATCAATGGTTAGAGAATAGTCTATGTCGAGCCACATGTGACATGCAATCTCGAGGAAATAAAAATGGTCATTGTCCTTCTATTCCATTCTCACAACTAATTATTATATTGTAAAGAGCTTGGACGTCTCTTGTATGTCTTGTGAGGGACGAATATGCCCATGTTCAAGGAAATATTAGTTTACCTGGGCTTATTGCGACCTGACTGGAGTGTATGGCCTCTACCGTCTCACAGCAATCTCGTGCTAAAGGTCACGAACCCATTCCCCCCGCTGCGTGAGACGCAATGCAATTCGCCGTCGCAAAGAGGTCGATGGTGCGATGGGTTTTCCATCGACACGGTCCCTGACGAGGATGGACCTACTACCGGGAATGTCTGTGAATACTTGTTCATCATAACAAACACCACCAAAGACTTCGACGGGGTGGAACGACTTGCGCTGGCGGTCAACGGGCAAGTTCCCGGCCCAGCGATCGAATGCCAGTGGGGAGACATTCTACGGGTCAATGTGACGAACAAGATGCAGAACAACCAGACAGCGATGCATTGGCACGGTATCAGCCAGCGTGGAGGCACCACCAACGACCAAGATGGAGTCCCTGGAGTGACAGAATGTGCCATCCCGCCCGGTCATAGCCGAATATACGAGTTCAAGCTGAGTAAATCAACACACACACACACACACATCTTTCTACTTTTGGGGAATCTGGGCTGATTTTTGCTCTCTCTCTTGTCGTTCTGTAGAGCAGTTCGGTACAGCTTGGTGGCATTCCCATGCTTTGTCCCAGTTTGGCGATGGAATCCACGGTCCGATCATCATTCACGGACCCGCGACAGCCGACTACGACATTGATATGGGCGCCATCATGATCGACAACCTGTTCGACAACAGTTCCAACCCGATCTCGACTCCAGCCTATGCCTCTCGCGTCCTCCACGTAAATGGGACGGGCTTTTGGAACTACGTTCTGAACGGTGCAAACACCTCGCCCGACCTGACGAGGGGCAGACACGCCTTCTGGTCGGTGAAGCCAGGGAAGAGGTACCGTTTTCGCATCATCAATTCCGCCGTCCAGTCGGCATGGGCCGTCCACTTTGACCACCACAAGATGACGGTCATTGCAGCGGATCTCGTCCCCATCAAACCCTACACGGCCGAGTGGCTCAATATCGGCAACGGCCAGCGATACGACGTGATTGTTGAAATGGACCAACCGGCGGATGCGTACTTTCTCCGCGCCGTGGCCCAGCTGGGCTGTCCTGACGAAACACAAAACAATGGTCTCGGCCTCGCGAACGGGATTTTCCTGTATCAAGGGGCGTCCCTCAGCCTTCCCTCGTCCACGGCGGGAAACAAGACGGCTGCAGACTTTCTGTATTGCGCCGATGAGCCGTTGTCTTCGCTCACCCCGTGGATCGAGAAGAGCGCCGGCTCCCGTGCCGCGTTTGAAGCAAAGGCCAAGACCCTCCCGAGTGGTGACCGCTACCGTCTCACATTCAGTGACGACGGCACTGTGTGGCGTTGGCCTCTGAACGGCACCATCACTGTGAACTACACCCAACCGACCCTGGAGCTTCTTGCTCATGGAATCTCTCCGTATGATAGACCTATTGAACAGCAAATTGTTCTCCCGGAAAAGGACCAATGGGTTTATTTCATCATTCAGAACTTGTTTTATGCGGCCCATCCGATGCACCTCCACGGCCACGAGTAAATCCCACCCCTCCGCCCTCCTCCCTCCTTTCCCATCTCTCAAGACTTCGGGCTGACATGTTTGCCTTTCATATAGTATGGCGATTCTAGGGCAGGGTAAAGAAGAATGGAATGCCAGCCTGATCTCGACGCTCAACTTTGAGAATCCACCGAGGAGAGACACGGCTCTTGTTGTTGGCAACATCGAAAAAGACCCCAACGTCGGAGGTAGGCCACTTAGTTCTATCTCCACTAAACAGAAGTTGCAATGCTCACATCTTCTCTAGGCTATCTGGTTCTGGGTTTCAAAACTGACAACCCAGGCGTTTGGTTGCTCCATTGCCACATCATCTGGCACTCCGAGTCTGGGATGGGTTTGCAATTCATTGAGCGTCCCGACGAAATCCCTGCAAAGGCGTACACGAGCAAAGAGAGCTTCGTGCAAGAGTGTGCAGCCGAGTTGGAGTACGAAGAAGAGGACCCGAGCCACAAAAAGTCCGAGAGCGTGTCTGGGGTGTAAGT